AGCGAAAAGGTTGGGGGGGAAAGCTGCAACTAGTTTATGTTGCATTTTCTGTCTGTTACTCGACTCTGTACTCGACCACACCCAGTACCTGGCATCAGGCAGTGTTGGTCGAGTATATTGCTCATTTCTGCTAGATTTTCTGTTTTCTGCATGATCACTTAGAACTATTAGAAAACCAAACCCCATTTCTGCTTGGCTTGACTTAGTGATTTCTGATCACATCTCATCTGTTTGCAACTCACCTAAAATGGATCGATAACCTTAAGTACTGCAATGACATGATAGTACTTATAGGAATTGAGAACTAGCTAAAATCCTACTATCAAAATACTAGAACACGGTAACTAGAACACAATTATGTTTGTTTACTTCCAAGTCTCGGACATACAGAACACTAAATATGGGCTTATCCTAGGTTATAGAATAAGTTGGCTGAAATCCTTATACTCCGTTACTCAACCTACGCAGGCAACGACGCATTAATCAAAGCAATAAGATCAAGTTCGATTCTAGTACATAAAACCCTATAATTAAGTGGTGTGTGCTTATTATAACATGATACACATTCGTAAGCTAGATCTAGCGTATTAAACAACCTTGTGAGTGATTTAAATATTTGGGATCACGAGTTAGGACATGAATCTAACTACATGCATTAAGAGAAAACTTACTTAGAAAGAATACAATGTAAACGATCAAACAAAACCCTAAGTATCGCCACCTAGACGATCGATCATGTCCCCCCTTTGATTAACCCATTAAACCCAACTAGAAAACTACTCTAGCATGGTTAAAAAGATCATCAAATTAAGGTTTGATAAACTCATAAGAAATAGTATAGAATAAGAACTGAATAGGGTTTAGAGATTACTTCTTTGAATGTAGAATACAAAAGGTAAGACTTCACCTTAATAAATCTTAGAGTAAACAAGAGAAAAGAGAGATATTTGGTGTCTTCAAAGCTCTAGGTCGACGGATGTAGCTCATGGTGAGGGCAGGGATGAATCACGATGAATAACTTTGAGACACACACATGTTTAGGGTTTTCATCGGGTATTTATAGGTCTTGGAGACCAAGGAGTCGGTTTAGGGGTAAAAACGTCTTTTCCCGTGAATTAGGTTAAGTGCGGTTCGAGTCTCTAGACCAACTGGAGGCACTAGTGACCGGTGGTGAGAGTGGAAGGCAGCCTGGACACGGACCTTATGAACGGTGTGGCCTTGAAGCTCTAAAACGGTTGCACAACTTCTGGCCAGTCTGGACATGTCTTCACTCTTCTTGTCATAACTTCCAAATGACTTATTGGATTGCTATGATTCCAATTCGAGGTGAATCTTGACTCTTATAGCTTTTCATATCCACCAAGATGGGAAGACCTCGAACGGATGATATACTTCCAATGTACAGAAACTGTATTGAAACGGGTTTTGATCGCCTTTTGGTCTTTAATGCTCAAAAATTCTTAAAACCTTCTTGCCTCCATAAATACTTAAATATCACCTTCTTGGCTCTTAAATCACTCCAAATGTTCCCTAAAACATAAGAAAACAATAGCAAATATGGGCGAAAATCCCATGTTATCAAGCATCTTTTTCTTACTCTTCCAGCTTCATTCTTCCTACTGCAATCTGCACGACTGTGATGCGGTTTTTTGTTTGCCTTTTCCTTCGTAGGTGGAAAGTTTATCCATCGAGGAATGCATGTTCTGCAAGTGGCTATCCTTGAAGTGAAAGGAGTTCTCCTAATCTACTCGATTGCCCTATGCAGGACCGAAGTCATAGCTTGGTCGACATTCAAACTCAGCTCTCGGAGTTCCCGATGTAGTGACTTAACTTTGGGGTTAGGTGCTCGGGGGAAGGGGAGTCATTCCGTGCTGTCTACTCTGGAATTATGCACATCCCGTCCTCCATCTGTTTACCATTTGACTAGATTCAGCGACGAGCTTTGCTTTGTCGAGCTGGTATTCCGGCGGCAATGGTGATTCTTCGGAGTTAACTCCGGCTCTGAGAGTTATTGTTGGTGGAGAGGTCTGTCCTCGAGTATCCTAGGAAGCTTGATGCACGAGAGTTGTGTATCCTCTGTGTTCTAACGTTCTAGATTCAATTGGTTTTGGGTGTCTTGTTGCTCATTACTTACACTGTAGTAGTCCGGAAGAATGTTATTGTGAGTTTCCAGAGGAGTTACATGCGTAGTTTGCAGCATTGTGACGCTTAGTTCCAGGATTTCCCGTTGTGCCATGACCAATTCGATCAACTTTTGCTATCTATCGATAGGATAAAATCATATTTTTAACCCTCAAAGTGTCACTGGGTAGCACTTTAAACCTCCAAAAAATTTCACTAACACTATAAACCACTAAAATAATTTTACTAACACTTTAAACCTATAAACTAGTTTTTCTGTTTGCACCGCCATAGAAATAACAAAAAATTAATTTATGTTTGTGTAATATTAATTTATTTAGTTTTAACTAATTTTACTATTTATAACAGTTTTACGATTAAAAAAATATAAAAAAAAAAGTAAAAAAAATAAAAAAACTTCATCATCTTCGACTACTCACTGTCAGACCACAAAATTTTCAGATTTTTATTCAGTTTACTATATGTTTTCACTATCTATTTATTGCAATTAGTATTATGAGATCCCAATTTATCTACTGGAGAAAGTGAAAACGTTTTTGGATCAATCTCCCAATAGATTCTTCCGATACGGAGAATACTTCGTTTTCTGGCTAAGATTCGGCATTCTTTGGTTTTTCTTACTCTATTTTAAGGTTCTCTCTTACCTCAGATTATACATTAGTATATATTTGGTTTATATTATTCTACTTTAAGTTTTTCTTGTGCTTTAGTTTCTAGTTTCAGAAGTTTATCATGAGATTTCATAGAGGAAAATGAATTTTTTTTATGAATTTTAAGATTTTTCTTAATTGTAATAAATAATAAAATTATTTTAAATTTAAATTAAATTAAATAACTTATATTAAATAAATATTAGTTAATTTTTTCATCATTTTTAATAGCGATACAAATAAAAAAGCTAGTTTGGAGGTTTAAAGTGTTAGTAAAATTATCTTTGTGGTTTATAGTGTTAGTAGAATTCTCTCGAGGTTTAAAGTGCTACCCAATGATACTTTGAGGGTTAAAAATGTGATTTTCCCCTATCGATAGTCTCCCGCCGCTCTCGAAGGGCTAGTGCGAGTTCATTGTTGTGTTGCTCTGAAATACTGTCGTCTGACATGGTGATCGCTGATTTTGAACGTTTGACTAGTTTGAAGACTTAGTATCCCCATAGGCGGCGCTAAATTTAGATGTCGGATCCGGAAAATTAAAAATATACATAATGTGGGGTTTAAATCTTCAATAGCCAAAAATTGAATAAAAAGTTCAAAAAATAGTACGCTAAAAAGTCTCTTATTATTATTCTTTTATTGAAAGAAGTTCCTCCTCTATATTGGTTTTCTTCTCTATTTATACATGAATTTTAATTTCATGATTACAAATAATAAATGGGCAATAATTGTATTAATTGCCCCACTTATTTGTCGGTTTTTGATTAGGCTCTTTAATTCTCATAACGACTTGCTTTGAATTTCGAGGGGACCATATGGGCTTATTTTGTTCTATCTCCTTTGGGACGCTTACTTGATATTTTCTTAGTTTTGGTCCATGATCAGACTTTTTTTTTCCTTCTTCTTGCCCGAGCCGGAGCTTTTAGTTTTGCTGATGTGGCTGACTTGTGGCTCCTACCTCGATGACATATGAATATTTCTCGGGTCACTGATCCTTGTTTCGATATCCAATATCAACAATAATCAAATGTTAGAACGATTTATAAAATAAACAAAAAATTGTAATAGTACGCCAAATTAACCTAATGTTACAATTGTTCAACTAAACGGCAGCAACAATTTATTTAAATTTATTTTAATAATTCAAAGAAAAATATGAAGTAACGAGAAAAAGACACAATTTAATATAGATTTTCATATGTTTTTGTGTTTTTAATAAAATAATATTTGACTAACTTAGATCTTTCATGTTACATGAAGTTTAGATGAGACGCTTTCTTACTTGTCCTCTTCTTTAAAACAGATAGAAAGCTGTGTTGTTATAAGGATCAAATTACAAAACATTCACCATGGTCCATGTCAAATCCAAAACCATTACATAACTGTTTAATTTGTTCTCCTTATCTACATTCCTCAGTTTTAGACAATAACTGTTTCTTCACCGTCTTCTGTATATTGCCACTGATCAAAGATAAATCAATGAATCTATCTTAAATATTTTTTCTTAGTACGTAAGTCAATGAGAGTACGTGCAGCCTACTCATCCGAAAGCAACTTGCAAATGAAATGTGCTCACCACTCTTTGAAACTTTCAATATATAGAACAATTAATGATTATATAACAAGAAAACAAGAAAAAAAATTTAAGCTTTCAGACAAAACAATGACGACTACTTTTGTCCTTTTTCTTCTTCTCCTCTGTGTTTTTGCGATCAACCCTAGTCAACAAGAAGAGATCAATCAACAGAATCCAGGGATATATCATCAAAAGTTGCTATACAAGGTCCAACAATGGAGAACAGCTTTGAAAGAATCAAATGCTGCAGAACTCAAGATATCTTCAGCAATCATTGTAGTTGGAGGGTTATGCTTCCTTGTTGCCTTGATCTCGAGCGCATGTGTAATCGGCGGTAGAGGTTTATTTATTCCAATCATGACTACAGCTGCACGGCTAGACTTGAAAACAGCTCCAAGCTTCTCTGGTATAAGAAATAGATGTTAAGTTTTATTGATAATGTTTGAATTCTAAGTGGTAACCCTACACACGTTTTTTAGAATTTATTTGGTGGTCTTTTTTTCTGAATTGAGAGTTAGTTTTACGCATTTTATTGACCTGTATCACGATTATGTTTACAACTAATTTTGAAAGAAAAACTCCATATAATAAAATTATGCAATTCTCATATGGTTGATAGATTTGAATAAAATTATATTTAATTAGATTTATATGAAAATGTAAAATCGATAATAACATAACTTAGAAAAACTGTGCAAATCCAATAAGAAAATTGTGTGGGTCTTTTTCTATATTCGAATGTCCCAAACTGAGTTTGTCTTCTTCACTTGACTTGACTTGATTTACTTATTACGTGGTATATACATATGAGTCTTAAGCCATACACATATCATCCGATGATGGCATGATGGTTGTTTTTTTCACGACCTAGACTTGGCCTATCATAAACAATAGCGATCACTTACATGTGCCACAAAAACTTTGACTTTTCTAGATATACGAATACAATCATATATATCTTGTTGAATTCTTATAACCATGGAGGTATTTGCATTGAACTCACACTCCCAAATTTCTATGGAGTTTAATTTATCTTCTTCTCTTTTTTTTTTTTTAAATTGTTATTTGCAATGGAAGGGAAGCGTTTCTTAGGCCAATACTTGATATGGGTGATATTATTGTTGGGGCAGCTCCATGAATGCAAAAGCTGCATTGAGAAAGAAAGAATAGCTTTGTTGGATTTGAAGAAATATTGGATGTCAATGACACAAGAATCGGAATTGGACTATGTTTTCCCCACTTGGAATAATGACACAAAGAGCGATTGTTGCATATGGGAGGGCATTGTGTGCAATCGTACAAGCGGACGGCTTATCAAACTTTATATTGGTTCTTTGGATTTAAAAGAGAATTGTCTCCTAAATATTTCTTTATTGCATCCCTTTGAAGAGGTTCGAAGTCTGGAATTATCAGCAGGGCTCAATGGCTTCGTTGATAATATTGAAGGTATATATACTAGGTTTTCACAGTCTAGATTACCATTGTGGTCTATATATAGAAACTACTTTAAATGCATTTTCCCCTCCATCAAAAGGTTATAGTACCTACCTATGGCTCATTTCTAGCACAAAATTACATCCAACAGCCAATCTTGCTCTCTTAATTCCATTTTGTTAAAATATATATATGAAATTATTGGAGTGAATAGGGTAGACTACTTATTTTATTTTTATACTCTATTTACCCGCTTTTTTGTTTGTAGGTTATAAAAGTTTAAGGAAATTAAGAAACCTGGAGATTATGGATCTCTCTTATAATAGATTCAACAACAACATACTTCCATTTCTTAATGCTGCTACGTCGCTTACAAGTCTTTCTCTTGAGAATAACGACATGGAAGGCCCTTTCCCTTTTGAAGGTGTGTTTCCATTCGTAACCTACTTTATAATGTTGTATATATGTTTTGTTAGGTCATTTGGTCTCATGTAATATAATGGCTACAATTTTCTATCTCTTTCTTTTAGTTGAAATCATTCTTATACTTTCTTGGACTATCTTTCAGAAATAAAAGACTTGACAAACTTGCAACAGTTGGATCTTAGTAGAAACAGACTAGACGGCCCCATGCAAGGTAGCATCTACGTCAATGACCACTATCCATAAATAGATTAAATTTTGTACATAATTGTTGAATTGGGTCATCCATTATGTCATATCCATAAGGTGTCTTACTTTGTATCTCTTTGTTTTGGGCAGGGTTGACTCATCTGAAAAACCTAAAAGCTTTGGATCTAAGTAGCAATGTTTTTTCTAGCATAATGGAATTGCAAGGCAAGTTTCTTTTAAATTTTTCTTTATGCATAAGAAATGTCTCCAGAATTATCGCGACAAATACAATTAGTCTTATTATTCTCACTATCTTGTTGTTTTCCAAACTATCTTTTTGCAGTAGTTTGTGAATTGAAGAATTTGTGGGAGCTCGATCTACGTGAAAACTATTTTGTAGGTCAGCTTCCTCTTTGTTTAGGAAGATTAAACAAGCTAAGGGTTCTTGACTTCTCATCCAACCAGCTAAATGGAAATCTACCATCTAGTTTCAACAGCCTTGAGTCCCTTGAATATCTATCATTATTAAATAACAATTTCACAAGCTTATTCTCATTCGATCCACTCGCCAACCTCACAAAGCTTAAGGTGTTCAAACTTTCATCAACATCAGATATGTTACAAATCAAGACAGAGAGTAATTGGGGGCCAAAATTTCAATTTCAACTAAGTGTTGTTGTACTAAGAGTTTGCAGCTTGGAGAAAATCCCTTCCTTTCTCGAGCACCAGAAGAACTTGCGTCTAATTGATCTATCCAATAATAGATTATCTGGAAAATTTCCTACGTGGATGTTGGCGAATAATCCGGAGCTTAAAGTATTACAGTTGCAGAATAATTTATTTACCATCTTCCAAATGCCTACAATAGTGCATAATTTGCAGTTCTTGGATTTTTCAGTGAATGATATTAGTGGACTGCTCCCTGATAATATCGGTCATGCGCTTCCGAATCTGGTACGAATGAACGGCTCAAATAATGGGTTTCAAGGTCATTTACCATCTTCAATGGGTGAGATGGTAAATATTACATTCTTGGATCTATCTTATAATAACTTCTCTGGGAACTTACCTAGAAGCTTTGTCATGGGTTGTTTTTCACTAAAACACTTAAAGCTTTCTCACAACAAATTTAGTGGCCATTTTCTTCCAAGAGAAACAAGCTTCACTTCCATGGAAGAATTGAGAATGGATAGCAACTTATTTACTGGGAAGATCGGAGTTGGTTTGCTTAGCTCCAACACTACGTTGTCAATTCTTGACATGTCCAACAATTTTCTCACGGGTAATATCCCAAGTTGGATGGCTAACTTATCTTCTTTAAATATGTTCTCGATATCAAACAATTTCTTAGAAGGTACAATACCACCATCTTTGTTGGCCATTAGCTTTCTTTCGCTTATTGACCTATCTGGAAACATCTTATCTGGAGCCTTACCGTCACATGTTGGTGGGGAGTTTGGGATAAAATTGTTCCTACATGACAACAACCTCACAGGGCCGATTCCAGACACGCTGTTGGAAAAAGTCCAAATACTTGATCTACGATACAATAAACTTTCTGGGAGTATTCCGCAATTTGTCAATACCGAGAGCATATTTATTCTTTTATTGAGGGGAAATAATTTAACAGGACCTATCTCAAGTACACTTTGTCATTTGAGAAAAATCAGACTTTTAGATCTTTCAGATAACAAGCTCAATGGCTTCATACCTTCATGCTTGTATAATTTATCATTTGGACGAGAAGATACAAATTTCATGATAGGTCCAGCCATATCGAAGATTACTCCGTTCAAATTTTATGAATCCACATTTGTGGTAGAGGAGTTCGTGGTAATGTCTTCTACTTTGCAAGGAATTGAAATCAAATTTTCAACAAAGCGAAGGTATGATTCTTATTTTGGAGCAACTGAGTTCAACAATTACGTACTTGATTTTATGTATGGAATGGATCTGTCAAGCAATGAATTAAGTGGGGTTATCCCAGCAGAGCTTGGAGATCTCTCAAAACTACGAGTCATGAATTTATCTCGCAACTTCTTGTCGAGTTCTATACCATCCAACTTCTCCAATCTGAAAGATATTGAGAGCCTTGACCTTTCGCATAACAAGTTACAAGGAAGAATTCCTCACGAGCTAACCAACCTTTCTTCTCTTGTTGTTTTTGATGTGTCTTACAATAATTTATCTGGAATCATTCCCCAAGGCAGGCAATTTAATACCTTTGACGAGAATAGCTACTCGGGAAATTCTCTTCTATGTGGACCACCGACCAATAGAAGTTGTGAGGCTAAGAAGAGCTCAGAGGAATCAGAAAATGGAGGAGGAGAAGAAGATGTTGATGAAGCTCCTATTGACATGTTGGCCTTCTATTTTAGTACTGCTTCAACTTATGTAACCGTATTGATAGGCATTATGATACTTATGAGCTTTGATTGTCCTTTGCGTCGAGCATGGCTTCGCATTGTCGATGATTCCATCGCCTCAGTCAAAGGTATGTTGCCTTAAAGTCATCTCACTTCAGTTTTTACCATTGTGCTTCTATGACTATATATGTGCTTTGGATTTTACCTTACATGGTTATTAATAATATGTGCTTTGGATTTTACCTTATATGGTAATGAGTTGAAGTTGTGAAATAGTCCTTATGTATCGTTATGACAAAGTTTTCTATTTGATTTATCTTATTCTTCTCTTTAGTCTCTATGAAATTAAGTTTAAATCATCGTAATATAAATAATCCAAAGGCTAGACCTTCATTTATTGAATTTGGAAAGAAGTCTCACAATTTAATAAAAATAATATCACAATTTTAGACCCATAATAAATCCACAAGATTATAAAACCAAAAAAAAAAAACAAATTACATTTTTTGCCATACTAAAAGGTGCCATGTAGGATTAAACCATATTCAAATGGTGGCAAACTTGCTAGTATGGTGGTCTACTTATTTGGTAGATAAAAAAAAAAAGTCAATAAAATTTCATGACAGAGTTAATGATAATTGTGGTAGATACAATATAGTATGGTAGAATTTCTTGTTTGATATGTTTAACATATATAGTTCTTTTAGTAAATTTATTTAAAAGATTTATTATATTCAGGAATAGACTTTGTCAGAAAGTGGGTTGCATAGAATCAGAAGCGGGTACGCGGAAGCGAAGCGTTTGGAAACGTGGAAGCGATTTTTATAGAAATTATAGAAAGTGGGTACGTGTTGGAAGCGTATATAAAAATTAATATATATATATATATATATATATATATAATAAACATTAAACATTATATCATATAAAAAATTATAATTAACATACAAATCTAATACATAAATTCTAAATATCTCTCTATATTTAAAAATCAAATAGTATACGTTTACAATAGGGAAAAGTCAAATAGTTCAAAGTCAAAAATTTAAGATCATTCTTCATTCTCATTTTACTAATTCTATCAAATAAAATTGTTTTAAAATTTTTTTTACCAATAAAAACATCATCAAACTCAAATTTCTCGAAATTAATTTAATTCAATTAATCATTTCAACATCTCCCTAATAAATGATCCATGCTGCTATCAGTTTTCTAACTATGATATTTAAAAAAATAAAATACAAAATTAGTATGCAAAATTAGTTTTGGTTTTTCTTTTGTTGTATAAAAAAAACTATTAAAAATATTTTCTTATTTCTTATTTATTTTGTGAAATCAAATTTTTTAAATGGAATCGCAACCTTCCAAAATAGAATCGTAAGCTTCCAAGGAGCTTCCAAAATGAATTTTTTAGAAGCGTTATGGAAGCGAGATTCCGAAAACTTTCGAGAGCTTCCGATTCCGACTAAGATTCCGAAACGGGAAGCGGACGTCCGACGAAGCTTCCGTGCTTCGTAGGTCAGAAACAAGATATTTATTTGACAAATATATATCTCGTAATGACAAAGTTGTCTATTTTCCATAGCGACAAAAGAATTAATTACTAAAGTAGCACAACAATGATACTATCATTAATGTACTAAAATTAATTACTGTAGTAATTAATGTACTAAAATTAATTACTAAAGTAGCACAACAATGATACTATACTTATATTACGTTCTAGTACATTTTGTTAGTGAATCAGCTTTTAGAAATAGTTGTGACTGAGTAAATTTGTATTCGTTGCGACAAACTTAAGTAAATTTCTTACGAAATTCTTATCAATATCGATTTTCTATGGAAGGAACACTTCGTACAAGCTATTTTCTTAGGAAAGGCTTGTTTCCTACGATTTTCCTATGTTTTTAGCTGTAAGAAAATGATGTTTTTCTTGTAGTTTGAATCTGATTAAAATGCAAAACATTGATACAATTATATGAAAGTGGTGACAAACTTCTTAATCCCCAAACTAAGTTACTAACACCCCTCATAAATATGGATATAACTCTGACATACAGTAACTACAAATATAACTCTGCCATAACTCATAACTATGGTTCAATGACTCGAAAGGGAAATGAAATCGATATTGATGTTGTCCCTTGTGACTATATTAACTATGGTTCACAAGAGTAACATAGTCAATTCTTGATTGCTAGATACAATAGGGTAAATTGAACTTTGTTGTCGTATCTAGATACTTCCGGGCAAAGGACGTGTGGGTGACAAAACGAAGTGCATATCTTACGGTACAGTTTTAGACCATGGATAACCCCACTTATTGTTATGCCCAAAAAAAGAAGGATAACTCCACTTATTGCCGAGGTGATTGTCATTTAGATTATTTTCAACCCACCTCTATTTTTGTCTCTAAACTCTATTTTATTGTAAAATCTACTCTAACTCACCTCTAAATTCTACTTTAACTCACCTCTATTGTCACATCTAAATAGAAATTGTTATCTTTGTTCTATATATATATAGGAACTCTATTTCTTTCTCTATAATAGAGTTTAACTTTTTATTTACTAACTTTTATTTTTTTTCTTCTTTACGATTAAAATAAATAAAATTAATATTTTGGGTTGATTTTAGAAGTTTTGGTATAAATATCTACTCTAAAATTTGAGACTACTGATTACAAAAATAATATATTTTATGAAAGTTTTGTAAAAAGTTAAAGTAAATATGTTAATTTGCAAACTTTTATAAATAAAAGGGAGACTCACAAAAATGCCCCTTTTTCAATACCCCTTTTCAAAAATGCCCCATTTGGCTGTCCATTTTTAAAAATACCCCTTTTTATGTACAAAATGACTAAATTACCTTTCTTTTAATAAAAGATATCACAAATATATAATGAAAACATGAGAATGTGCATACATAAAAATTACAAATTTGATTTTGTAAAACCTTTAAAACACCTTGTAAAATTTTCCCGTAAAAATTTTTTCCGCCAAAAAATTTTTTTTCCGGGAAAAGTTTCCGCAATTTTTTTGGCGTTAAATTTTTGGCGGAAAAAATTTACAAGGTATTTTAAAGGTTTTTTACAGGGTATTTATAAGGTTTTACAATGTATTTTAAAAGGTTTTACAACGTATTTATAAGGTATTTATAAGATATTATAAGATTTTACAAGCTATTTTATAAGGTTTTACAAGTTATAAGGTTTTACAAGTTTTTTATAAGGTTTTACAAGTTATAAATACCTTATAAAATCTTATAAGTAGCTTGTAAAACCTTTTAAAATACATTGTAAAACCTTACAAAACACTTGTAAATACTCTGTAAAACCTTTAAAATACCTTGTAAATTTTTCCAGCCAAAAATTTTCCCGCCAAAAAAATTGCGGAATCACTTTTCCCACAAAAATTGTTTTTTGGCGGGAAAATTTTTTGGCATGAAAAAATTTTACGGAAAAATTTTACAAGGTATTTTAAAGGTTTAACAAGTTTTTACAAGTGTTTTGGCGGGAAAATTGCGGGATCACTTTTCCCGCCAAAAAATATTTTGTATTTTGTGGATCTAATTTTGTTTCAAATAAAGGTAAAATGGTCATTAAAAACCTTCACATTTCTTAAAAACATATTAAAACACTCAACTTTTTTTGTGAGTTTTTAAACCCTCACCTTTTCATGAATGGTAAAATAAACCCTATTATTAATAAACTCAATTTAAATTCAAACAAATAGTTACATTAAAGCATAAATAAATACAAACAATTTGATTTAGGAATTTTCTTCTGAAATTCTTGTTTACAATCTTTTGCTAATTTGAAATTTTTTAAATATGATGTAGAAAAGTTAATTAATGAAGTTGTATTCGGTTGTGTTACGAAAATTCATCAACGTGAAACCGAACAGATTTTGTGACGAATGATATATAAATTCTTATACCGAACAGAATATGAGTATATGTTAATAAAGTTGTATTCGGTTCGATCATACAAATATACAAATATGAGCCGAAACCAAATTTTATAATACTACGAAAAATACATGAATTTCCACATCAAAATATTTTTGTTGGACGAACTAATTAAGATTTACTAACTAAATATTAAAACTATAATATAAATTACATTTAGTTGATCGTTATTTAAATAAATTTTATCCAAAAACTGAAAAATCGAACAAAAAAAAATCAAATGTGCTATCCTATAAATTTTTGTAGTTTATATAATTTTTTTTTTGAATCTAATGTTAAATTATATTCAAAAGAAAAATAAAAACGTTTGTACAACTAATGCATCGTTTTGCTGAAAAGAAAAGCCGAGAGAGAAAATCAAAATTTTACAACAAGCTAATCAACCATAGACTTGGATCCATAACTGATAGGCTTCTGCGTACCGCCTATCTCCTATTAATCGAATCGCCGTGATCAGATTTCTTACTTACTTTTCAATCCAACTCGTTATACGTTCCACTGTTTGAGGTTTGTCACCATGCCGTCGCCCATTTCGTTCTTTCCATATTGTATATACAGCTACTTGGAACACGAATCTGATGAGATATCCCTCTACCCGCTGATGATGTGTGTTCAAAATGTAATCAAGAATGAGTGACCAAACTTGTGTGTTCCTTGTTTTGAGAAGGCTGTTAGCCAAAACCGCCCACACATTTGAACTGTACTCGCAAGAAAAGAAAAGGTGATCTCGTGTCTCCTGGTGGTTATTGCATAGAACACAAGATCCCGATGCATTCCCATTCCATTTGATCATACGATCTCCCGTATATAGTCTATTGTGAGCTGCCAACCATACACAAAAAGAATGTTTTGGTGTTGCATGCGCAAACCAAACTCCCCTGTGCCAAGAGACCGTGGTGGATGTTGTCCGGATATGGTTCCAAGTGTCCTTTGTCAAAAATTTCGGCTTAAAGATGTCATTCTTCCCCTGCCAGAGAGCTTTGTCCTCTTTGTTGTTTCGTTTTTGCCACTGTGCGTATAATGCATCTTCCATTGCATTTAACTGATCTATACAGTGCTTTCTTCGTCTCCTATGCGCCCAAGCAGCCGCAACAGAGCTTGTTTTTGCTGATTCCCAGGTCAATGGTGCCCCGTGAGCCTGCAATGTCTACTAGCCTGCCCATTGAAGTCCAATTATCGTACCAAAATGAGGTGCTCTGCCCGTTTCCTACTTCAACTTTATAGAACGGCTTCGCTACTTCTCTGAATTTAATGATCTTTTTCCATATCCAAGAACCCGCCGTTGCATTAACATTCATTGACCAGAAAGATACTTGCTTAAGGAGATACGTTTGAACCCACTTTACCCATAGAGAGTTTCCGTTAGAAACTATACGCCATATAGCTTCAAACAGCTGACTTCATTTGCATCTTTCAGTGATCGCAGGCCTAATCCACCCTCCTGCTTTGGTCTGCAAATGTTTTCCAATGAGAATTTTGCTTTATGAGAGCTCAAATCAAAATCTGACCATAAGAATGCTGAACAGAGTTTTTCAACTTCTCGAATATAGTCATTAGATAGTCGATACGCTGCCATCCAGAAATTACATACACTCCATAAGACTGATGATATCGAATTTAGGCGGCCTACATACGAAAGAAACCGTGCTGTCCAAGACTGAATTCTTTTCCGGAGTTGCTCGATTAAAGGCATGTAATCCGTGGCTGAGAGCCTTTTGGTAACCAGTGGTAGACCTAAATAGCGAACAGGGAGCTGACCAACTGAGAAAGGGAATGCGGGGGCGATTTGGTGGGAGAAATCTCTTTTTCCAGCGAAGTACAAAGTCGATTTCTCCAAACTGATTTTTAAACCGGAGCTTTTTGCAAACTCATCAAAAACAGCTAGGATACCTTCAACTGATCTCACTTTCCCATCAGATAAAACCATGAGATCATCAGCGAAACTCAAGTGAGTGAGCCCCAAATTCTTACATCTTGGATGGTAACCAAACTGTTTTTCTACCACAGCTTTATCGAGCATTTTTGAAAGCACGTCCATACTTACAACAAATAGGTATGGCGAGAGAGAACAACCTTGTCTTAACTCTCTAGAGCTCCTAAAATAGCCTGCGTGAGAGCGGTACGTATACGCATCACGAAGGGCGCAATTTCTCAGGATACCATAACTACCAGATTGACATGCCCCGAGGCCGAGGCCGCGGTAGAGGCCGAGGCCGTGGTCGAGGAAGAGAGTCTTTCACCTGGACAAGGGATCAGCCACCGAGCAATGATCAAGAATATTGCGAACACCACAAAATTTTCGGCCACCATACCTCGAGATGTCGAAGCCTCGGCGCTAAGTTAGCAACCAAATTCCTAGCTGGAGAGCTCGGAACGAACGTCACTCTTAAGGACCTCGAGCCAGAACCAGAGCCCGAGCAGACCAACCCGAGAAGAGACCCCGATCCAAGGAACCAGGAGTCTCAGAAAAGAACCCGGGGGACGGAAGGCGAAGACCGAGATGGTACGCGGCAGAAGGTTCTCACCATAATGGGTGGATCGCCATACTGTCCTGACACCGTAGCGGCAATCAAAGCTTATCAACGCCGAGCCGAGACGCCTAGCAACTGGACAAGACACTTTGATCGACCTAACGACGTGATCACATTCGAAGAAAGCGAGACAAACGGGCTCGACATGCCTCATAACGATCCAATCGTCGTCACATTAGCGATAGGAGACCGTGATATTTACCGAGTATTAATTGACACCGGCAGCACCATCGACATGATCTTTCGCGAAACGCTCCGACAAATGAACATCGACATGTCACAGGTAACTCTGACCCCGAGGCCAGTCCTTGGGTTTTCAGGAGAAACTTTAATGACGCTTGGAACCATCCAATTACCAGTCCGAGCCGGCGGGGTGACAAAGATAGTCAACTTCTTGGTCACCGATCAACCTACCATCTACAACGTCATAATGGGAACGCCGTGGCTAAATCTAATGCTAGTTGTCGCCTCAACATATCATCTCTGTGTCAAATTCCCGACCCTTAATGGCGTGAAAACGATCTGGGGCAGTCAGAAGAATTCTCGGATGTGTTTGATGGCAGCACACAAACTCCGAAACCCTGTCACTGAAGCAAAGGCTGAGACCGACCACAAGAAATCAAAACTTGGCCGGAGTGAAGAAAAGGCTATATCTAAACAGTTATAGCAATTACAGATTGAGGAGGCGCGCGAGGAGAAGAAGCCTACCTCGTATCCTGTAATCTCCATTAGCCTCGACGAAGAGCGGCCTGAACGGTGCGTGGAAATCGGTAGCGACTTAACCAAAGAGATAAAGACCGAGCTCATCTCATTCCTCAAAGAGAACATCAACACCTTCGCCTGGTCGGCTGAAGATCTACCCGGAGTAAGCATCGACGTAATCTGCCACGAGCTGAATGTTGACCCATCTTTCAAGCCCATCAAGTAGAAGCGAAGAAAATTGGGTCGGGATCGCGCAAATGCCGTGAATGCCGAAGTAGAAAAGCTCCTGAAGATCGGTTCAATCTCCGAAGCAAGATATCCAGACTGGTTAGCGAATCCCGACCTGAACAAGGCTTGCCCTAAAGATAGTTTTCCCCTCCCACACATCGATCGCTTAGTGGAAGCAACTGCGGGGAACAAGTTGCTATCGTTCATGGATGCTTTCGCAGGATACAACCAGATTCTCATGCATCCCGATGATCGCGAGAAGACAGCATTTATCACAGACCGAGGTATTTACTGCTATAAAGTCATGCCCTTCGGACTCAAGAACGCTGGCGCAACGTATCAACGGCTCGTCAACAGGATGTTCTCCGAGCAGCTCGGGAAGACGATGGAAGTTTACATCGACGATATGCTAGTCAAATCCCTCGAAGAAAACGATCACATAGCCCATCTACGCGACTGTTTTCGCCAGCTCAACAAGCACAACATGAAGCTCAACCCGGCAAAATGTCGTTTCGCGGTAAAGTCAGGTGAGTTCCTAGGATATCTCGTAACTCACCGAGGCATCGAGGCGAACCCAAAGCAAATTGATGCCCTCCTGAACATGCCCTCACCGCAGAACAAGCGCGAAGTCCAACGTCTCACCGGGAGAGTCACAGCCTTAAACCGATTCATCTCGCGATCCACTGACAAATGCATGGCTTTCTACGATACTCTGCGCGGAAACAAGAAATTCGAATGGACTGATCGTTGTGAAGAAGCTTTCCAGGAACTGAAGAAGTATCTGGCTAATCCACCGGTTTTGGCAAAACCAGTCCCGGGCGAGCCATTATTTCTGTACATCGCAGTCTCTGATACAGCGATAAGTGGAGTTATAGTCAGGGAAGACAGAGGAGAGCAGAAGCCGATATTTTATGTCTCGCAAACTTTCACCGACGCAGAAACACGCTACCCGCAAACTGAAAAGCTCGCCCTCGCCGTAGTAATGTCAGCTCGGAAGCTACGGCCATACTTCCAGTCTCACTCAATTGTCGTCATGGCGCCCGTATCACTCCGAACTATCCTGCACAGTCCGAGCCAGTCGGGACGCCTGGCCAAGTGGGCAGTAGAACTCAGCGAGTATGACATCGAATACAGGAACAAAACATGCGCGAAATCTCAAGTCCTGGCCGATTTTATCATCGAGCTGCCAACAGAGAACGCCCGAGAAGAGTCACCCAACGCTGTTTGGATCCTCCACGTCGACGGCTCATCCTCAAAACAAGGTTCTGGCGTCGGAATCCGCCTAGCATCACTAGAGGGTGAAATCCTCGAACAATCCTTTTGGCTAAATTTCGACGCGACTAACAACCACTACAAGAAAACAGACCGTTTGCGACTCCCATTTTAGTCGCAAAACAGTCGCAAATACTCTAGTTACGACTGTTTTGCGACTAATTAAAATGGTCGCTAAAAATTGGTCGCAAAATAAATTAGTCACTTATTTGCGACTAGTTTCTGACCTACATAAATAGTCGTAAATAAACGACTAATCTGTGACTAGTATTGGAAGTTGCAGATACCCGACTAAAACGCAACGAGGCTAACTACGAGACCGATTTGTGACGATAATTACCAGTCTTATCTTGCAACGGTTTTGGTACTAACATTAGAGTCCGAGTTATGCGACAGATTAGAGACTAAGATTTCGTAGGTGAAAAAATTAAGTAGTCCCACTTTAGTCGCTATCTACGTTTCTTTAAGTTACAATTTGGTCGCAAGAGAGTCTTTCTTATTTGTGACCTTTGTAAGACGCTGTTTTATTGTCTCATATTAGCGACCATATTGTCACAAGTTTTATAGTTTGTGAAACTTGGTTTAGTCACATAATCGTCACCGCTTTGTAGATGGTCGGTCACAAAATGGTCACATATGTGGAATAGTTTTGGTCATAAAATGGTCATATGTTTCTTATTGGTCTGGTCACAAATTAGTGACATGTTAACAATCATAAACCTGATTAATTTCCGAATTGAATAGCCATTAATCAAAGAAAAATATCCATAATACACAGTAATCAAGTAAACATTCCAAAAATTATCATCCTACATAAGTTATCATCCTAGATTCCTAGTCATACACAAAAGGATCATCATCCTACATACCAACAAAAGCATAAATAATTAAGTTCATAAGTTAGAAGAAGTAGACAAAGTAGGTGAAGTGGAGGATGCTACTCTCTTGGCCAATCCTGTCTCTTCTGTGGTGCCTGCGGTTGGAATGGCTGGTTGGATGGTTGCAGCTGTTGTGGATGGTAGAATGCATGTAGGTGTGGTGGTTGCTTGGATGGGTTGTTCAGGTGCTGTAGAAGCAGATGACAAGAAAGCTGCCAACTCAGGATCTTTATCCTTCATGAAGAGGACAAGTTTCTCCAAGCTGGAGATCCGAGATTGAGATTGGCGGTGCTCCTCATCACGTCTTGCATTTTCAGCATCGTGTTCAGATATCTTGCGCCGCAGCTGTTCTTGAAGCTCCACAATGGTTGATGTAGAAGAGCTCGCATAACTCTCCTTCCTCTTTCCTTTGTTCAGCGTCTCCACAAGCGATCCAAGGCCATAAGGAGTGCCTTTGTCATCTTTATGAGTACACTAAAACAAAAGACAAAGATTCAGTGAACAAGAACAAGGATGTCAAAAAAACGAAATCCAGAAACAATTTAAAGGCATATACACTGATTATCCACTTTAAAGGCATATACAATGTTAATCACATAATCAACATCAGAACAAGACAATCAGATACTAAGCAAAATAAAAACAGAAATCAATTACCTTAAGAAAGATCTCATTCTTTTCATCAATGCTGAGCATACAGTCAGTGGAATGTTCAGAGGAATTAGCAGAATTCTGAGGACCCTCCTCGTCCAATTCAGACAGCCTGTCTTCAATGCCCTTCGCATACGCCTCAGCAACTTCTTTAGCTTTTTGATCCACAAATGATCCATCAGCCCTTGTATGTGTTTGCATAAACACTTCGCCAAGTGATACAGGACGCTTGAGCTTTTCCTCCTACAATTAAACTCAAACAGATTTAAATCATGGAAGCAATATTAGAAAATCAGAGAAATGATTTGTTTGGATGGAAAGAGAACTCTTACCATTTCTTGATGAACTTGCACAAAAGATTTCTGACCGGCTAAGTGTTTGTGCACTCCAAGACCTCCACGATCAGAGTTTCTGCACTGTGAAGCATTCTCACTCCTCTCAATAGCATCCTCAGTGTTCCAATACACCCACATCTCAGCCCAAAGTGTATCACGGATCCACGGTGGTTGTACACCACTCTGCTTTGCTTGACTCACAATCCCTTTCAACCGTTTCTTGGCTATCGCCAAGAATCCTTCTCTAACAAGCTCAGTAATCCCGACATCCCAATTATACTTCCGTTACACAACAAGTAGTTAAGTTAGCAAAGTTACTAAGTCATATATAGTAAACAATAACAGAATAAAAAGTATATATGACATTACCGCAAAACTTCTGAAGTATCTCTCTCGAATGGGTATTGGAGTAACCTTCCAGCTGAAGTAAGACCCATCAAACTTCCTCCGAAATATTCCAGCAATCACTCTAGAGAGCTTTCCTTTGTGCCGGTTAAACCTGTAATGAAAGACAGAGTATTAAGTCTATATAAAGTATCTTTCATGTTAGTTAAGCACTAAGACATTGCAAAAATACTCCTAATTATATTCTTTTGTTGAAATCACCGACTTTAGATGATGCAAAACAACTAAGAGAGAGTCAGCGAGAATGAAATGTGTTTGATTATATGCAGAAACTACTAAAATAAGTTGTATTTAGTGAAGAAAGTCTGAAAGCTTGAATATAAACCATAGAAAGTCTGAAAGCTTGAAGAATCAGACTCAGTTTGGATCAACTAAAATAATTCTCCAAACTTCTACTAAAGGACATGACTAAATGACTTCACAGTGTTTAAAAAATAAAGATAAACTATACACAGATGCTCCAATACACCAATACACCAATACACATGCTCAATATCAATCACAAACACAAGTAACTCCAATACAGATGCTAATTATCAATCACAAAATCATCACAAATGGTCAATGACAAAAGTATAAAAGGAGAGAGATTACCAGAGAGTCTCAACTCCTGGTATCCGGTTCGGAGACAGAAGTGGAAGATGTTCTCGGCCTGGAAGGGCTAGCAAACGATCCAACAGCTCTTGGTAGTCGACATTTGGATCTTCATTCTGTTCCTGAGGGTTATCTTCATCTACTTCTTCCTCATACTCGTCTTCACTGTTATCGTGTAGCTCCATTGGTAAGTTTTGTTGCTCCGGTGGATCATGACGAGGAGGCTGTTGTTGAGGAGGAGGCTGTCGTTGAGGCGGAGGAGGCTGTTGTTGAGGAGGCTGTTGTTGAGGAAGTTGTTGTTGAGGAGGAGGCTGTTGTTGACGAGAAGAAGAAGGCTTTTGATGTTTTTGTTTCCGACGAGCTGGAGGTGGTTGTTGAGAGCCAGCAGGCGGTGTTTGTTGAGAGCCGGCAGGCATTGTTTGGAGAGAAGGAGTCCGGTTTTGGGAAGATGGCGGATACTGTGAAGGACGACGACTCTGAGATTGGGTAACTGACTGTGTCGCCGAATTAGGGTTCGACGAGTGAGAGGAGGCTCGGACTGGACTCGCAGGTAGAAGTGGATTTTGACCATGGAAGACTCTGGGACCACGGCTGGTCAATTTGCCTCCGCGACCTCTGGAAGCCTTGCCCTTACCAGGAGCCATTAGAGAATCGAAGTGTTAGAGTCGAAAGAGAGAATTTGAAGAAAGGAAGGATTGAAAGAGAAGCAGAGAGGTGAAATAAAAACCCTAGAAAAGTGTTGAAGAATCGATTGGAGTAGATTGAGAAGAGGAGAGAAGAATCGATTCGAAGAGATTGACAAGAGGAGAGAGGCAAAAACCCTAGATCTAGGATGAGAAAATGAAATGTCGAGGTCGTGTTTGTTTACTAATTAACGATAAGAGTCCCACTTTAGTCGCAAAAGAGTAGGTCCTTAAAATTTTTGGTGGGAAAATAGTCGGCAAATAGTCACAAAGATTGTCCTAAAATAGTCGCAACATATGTACGAGTCGCGTTAAAGTTACAAAGTAGTCGCAATTTGTGACTAAATTGTGACAGAAGAGAACACGTCACAACATAAAATTTAGATATCTATGGATTTTGTTTCATTCTATTGATTGTATTCACAGATAAACACTCATTTTAGTAGCATAAAGTACATATATAAGTCTTAGGTAGGTAAAAAATTGCTTCCACAACTTATTTCATAATTTGTTATAAATTCCCTATCATTCTCTTAAAAGAACATGTAACACTTCATATGGATTAAGTATTTTTGCATGTTTGGTTTCTAATCATTGAAATTCAAGAGGTTGGTTAAGTATTTATAACTAAATTCGATCATATCACACTAGTAACGTATAATGGAACATATAAACAAACTCCAAATTAGAAATTTGGATTGTTCAATATCAAGAGTTGGTAATAGGTAGCAAAGTAGTCGCTAGGTTTCAGGTGTTAGACGCAAAATAGTGGCAGAAGTGTGACCGTCTTGCGACTGTTTTGAAAAATGGTGATATATTCTCATTTTTAGTCGCTAAGTCTCAGGTGTTAGATGCAAAAGGGTGGCAAACGTATGACTGTTTTGTGACCGTTTGGTAGATGTGATCGATTATCTTGTTTAGTCGCAGAATGGTGGCAAAAGTGCGACTGTTTTGTGACTGTTAGTAAAATGATGGAAAAACACACTCTACTGGACTCGAACCGAGAACCTGCTTTCAAGTATGGCAAGTATGTTACCAAATTTGCTGTTTAATTAATCGTTAAATGTTTACCAAAACTAGTAAATAAACATAACAAATTGGCTGTTTAATTCTATTTTTCAAAACACACATCATCAAGCCATTTAATTAAAATATATTACAAAACACACATTAAAATTTAGTCAATTATTTTACAAATGACTTATATTTATAATTATTCTTCATCTTCACCTTCTTCTTCATCTTCATCTTCGGATGTTGATGAATTACAATGAAATTCGTCTTCTCCTTCAGCATCTTCAATATCAAAATCGATAGGTTCATCTTGATGATTTCCGTCAACTAAGCTCTCAACTATAACTTCTTCAATCATGCTCGGAGGTGCCTCATCAACAGATTGTTGCAGTATAACCATATCATTTTCAGTAAACTTCCCTTGAACAACATTCCTTGGATTAACTTTGTAAATTGAAAGCCACGTTTTTCGAGGTCGTTTTGTGGTCGGGTATGAAAGATAACACACTTGATCAGCTTGAGACCCTGTACAAAGCCAAAAATTTGAAATAAAATAAGATCGTCTCTAGCAAATACTTGAAAATAGGATGAAAAATTACCTAAAATAAATGGTTCGTAATTTTGGTATCTCTTTGATTGTAGCACGTCTACAACGCCTCCATCTGAAATACGAATTCCTTTGCCAACCTTTGGGTCAAACCATTGACAGTAGAAAAGTGTGATCTTTAAGTTAACCAGTCCTGGATACTCGAGCTCGATTATCTTTTCCACGGTCCCATAAAAATCTTCTTCGTGAGATGCTTCAGAATAATTTTGTCCTCGAACACATACCCCATAATTCATTGTCTTTCTTGTGCGCCCATGATTCCGCGTGTGAAACATATATCCTCTAGTAAAATACATGGGCCATGACTTGACTTTGTTTTCAGGACCTTCCACTAGTTCATGAACCCATGGAGGAAAATTTTGATGACTTCTCGTTGCTTCCACCTAAAATGAATATTATATAGATTAGTAAAGATATATATTCCAATCCATGAGTCGATTTAAAGTGAGATCGTTAGTATATACGACGTACGTATTGGCGAATCCATAAATGAAAATCTTCGTCTCTTTTAGAGGTGACCTCATCATCAGAGAGTTCTGGATATTCATCCCGAATTTGCGCGTCCAACATACTGTGTTTCGACATGTAAAAAATATTCTCATTAGTCGATTAATAGAGAGAACGCTCTTAAAACTAATATTATTACTTGGTAAAAATGTACGTATACCTTTCAAACGGTCGAAAATAGTCACAATTACGCAAAACATATGCATGTGCGCATGTATAATCTTGCTCAGTTAACCAGAACTCACTACTTGTGTGAATATGTCTGGTACCGGGACAGGATATACAGGAACTTCACCTTCATCATACCGACTTGTCCTGCGAAAGTATATATATTAATTCATAAAAATATTTGCTTTTATTAAAATAATGGTATTCTCATTATAATATAGTATGAAATACCTTCTTCTAATAGCTGTAGAAATGTGCGATGCAAAATAGTGTTCCGAGAAGTATGATATCTCATCATTCATGTACGATTGAACGATTGAACCCGCTGGATATCTTTTGTTCTTCGCCTTGCCTTTCAAACGTTTAAAAAACCTTTCGAAAGGATACATCCATCTATATTGAACTGGACCGCCAAGCTCTGCTTCGTATGGTAGGTGTATAGGTAGGTGCTCCATAACATCAAAGAAAGAAAGTGGGAATATTTTTTCCAAGTTGCACAAAATCATGACAATATTCTCCTTCAAAAGTTGGACGAGACTTAGTTCCAATGATCGAGTACTTAAATCACGGAAAAATGCTCCAATGCCTACAATACAAATAAAATAAAATTAATAGTCATATTATTTTATATATAGAACAAACATATATTTATAAATTAAATATATTTACCTGATAATGCAAGATGTACGTTTCGTGGCAAGAGTTCTGCAAACACAAACGGAAGCAATCGTTCCAAAAATACATGGCAGTCGTGACTTTTCATTCCCGAAAACTTGCCGGCATTGATATCTGCACAACTAGCTAAATCTGCTACATAGCCATCTGGAAATCTGACCTCTGATTTGACCCATTCAAGGAGACTTTTTTTTGCTTTCGCACTCAATCTCCAAATAGGAAATGGAGCTCTCCCTCGATCATCAACATGCAATTCAGGTCGATCACAAAATCTGGAAACATCTATTCTTGACTTCACAGTGTCTTTTGATTTGTCTTTCACATTCATCACAGTGTACATGACGTTATCGAGAATATTTTTCTCAATATGCATTACATCAAGATTGTGTCGTAGATTTAGATCGGTCCAGTAAGGTAGCTCCTACAGTATGCTTTCTTTGTGCCAATTATGCCAATCTCCATACCCATCCACTTTATTTTCATGTCCATTTCCTCCGCAGTCAGATGTCTTAGGCGGCTCGGCAGTCTTTATACGCTCATATAAGACTTGTTCACCAGTCAACGATTGAGGTGGATACTCGTTCACTGCATTTTTACCCTTCACAAAGTGCTTTTTGTCCTTCCGTAATGGATGGTTTAGAGGAAGAAATCTTCTGTGGCAATCAAACCAACATGTCTTCCGACCACCTGGCAACCAAAATGATTTTGTATCCTCCATACAAATTGGGCACGATATTCTTCCATGTGTAGTCCATCCCGATAACATGCCATATGCTGGGAAATCGCTAATAGTCCACAAAAGGACGGCTTTAAGTATGAAATTTTGATCACATGACACATCGTATGCCTCAACTCCGTTATGCCATAACTCTTTCAACTCCTCGATCAGTGGTTGGAGGAAAACATCAAGACTGGCTCGTGGATGATTTGGTCCCGAATTCAAAATTGTAAGGAACAAATACTCACTGCTCATGCACATATCAGGAGGCAAGTTGTATGGAGTCAAGATCACGGGCCACAACGAATGATTTTTGGACATGCAAAACGGATTGAAACCGTCAGTACATAATCCAAGATAAACATTTCGCGGTTCTTCTGCAAATGAGGGATGGAATTGCTGGAAATTCTTCCACTCAGCCGCATCTGATGGATGACACATTAATCCCGTTTCCGATTCATGCTCAGCATGCCATCTCATCGAAGCTGCAGTCTTTTGAGATTGATACATTCTCTTCAATCTGGCCCCAATCGGTAAATACCACATCTTACTATATGGTATTCTTGTTCTTCCTTCACTCTCCTTGTATCTTGGTTTTCCGCAGAACTTGCAATTCCCCAACTTCTCATCATCTTTCCAAAATAACATACAATTATCTATACATACATCATATGTATAGTACGGCGATCCTAGCTTTCGCATCAAAGTCTCTGTCTCGTAGTAGGAACCGGTCGCCTGATTACCTTCTGGTAAATATTCTGTAAACAATTCTGCCCATCCGTCCATGCAAGTTTCTGACAAATTGTAGTCCACCTTATTGTTCATGAACCGAGCTGCCAACGATAATTGCGATTGACCTTCCCGACATCCATCGTAAAGTGGAGTGTTTGCGGCAGCTAGCATGTCATAAAATCGTTTTGCTTCTTGGGTGGGTTCTTCATGAACATGATCGTTTCCACTTTGATCATGTTCATTATCTTCGTTATATGGTACAGAACCATGAAATGCATCATTAACCATCTCAGCATATACATTCTCCCCATCATTAGCCATCCCAGCATATACATTCTCCCCATCAAATCCTATTGGTTCATGCGTACCACTAGTATAATTGGTATTATCAGCATATTCATGATGACTACTAGTTCCCTCCCCAACAACATTATAATCTTCACCATGTTCATACCATACATAATAATTCGCCATAAACCCCCTACTAAGCAAATGACTCGAAATTGTGGCAGGTTTCATGCGTTTAGAATTTTGACAGACTACACAAGGACAATAAAACCGACCTTTTCTGTCTTCAACGTGAGAGCTCGCAAAATCGATGAACTGTTCCACACCCGCCAAATACTCCCCCGAAACATGACTAGTGTATGGATCGATTCGGTTGTACATCCATTCGCGTGATGGATTATTCCACATCGTTTTTTTTCTCTCTTTTATTTTATTTTTTTTTTTTCTCTCCTTCGTTTTTTCTTTCTTTCTCCTTATGTTTTTTCTCTTAATTTGAAGTTGGATGGAATGAGAAATAAAATGACGAAGGCCTTGTATATATAGTGAAGATTTTGTGACTCTTTTGTGACTGATGTTAAGGAGTCACAAAGTTTGGTACACCTAACTCTATCGCATTTTTCACATTGTGCCAACTTTTGTAACTCTTTTGCGACCGATTTCAAATAATTCACAAAATTCAGTACACCTAACTTTTTCATATTTTTCACGTTTTTTGTACCTACTTTTTGTGACTAATTTACTACTAAACCGTGATCGAAATATGTAGTTGCAAAAACGTCACTAAATTGGGACTGCTGTGCGACTGATTTTCCTGACTACAGATTATGTCGCTAAGTGGTCTCATAGTGCGACGTTTTTGCGACCAAATAAATAGAATGGCAAAACTGTCGGATATGTGTCGCTAAATTGAGACTGTTTTCTGACTAGGTGTTTCCGTCGCTAATTAGCGACTATTTTCCATCTTCTTGGATTGTAGTCGTTTAAGTGTCGTATATAAATTACAAAATAGTCGCTCTTTTTTGCGACCAAATAAATAGTCACAACAAGGAGTCTCAAATTGCAGGTTTTCTTGTAGTGAACGTGGCTGAGTATGAAGCGCTGATAGCAGGACCTAAGTTGGCTCGGGGACTTAAGATCAACAAGTTGCGAGCCTTTTGCGACTCCCAGCTCGTGGCTAATCAATTCAATGGAGAATACGCGGCTCGCGACGAACGAATGGAAGCGTATCTTGCTCTCACGCAAGACTTGGCGAAACAGTTCGGAGAGTCCGAGTTAACCAGAATCCCACGAGGTGAGAACACATCGGCCGATGCCTTAGCGGCTCTAGCTTCAACCTCCGACCCAAATCTGAAGAGAATCATACCGGTTGAGTTCATCGAAAAGCCGACCATTGAAGATAATAGCAAGGATCAAGTTCTAACAGCTCGGGTGACAGAAGAGCCGGAAGAAATGGACATCGAACTGCTAAACCAGCAAACTACGGACGCAACTGAGCCCGAATACGGAAGCGACGCCAAATGGATCGGAGCCATCCGAAGCTACATAGCCGATGGAGAAGTTCCTACTGAAAAATGGGCAGCTCGGAAGCTTAAGGCAAAAGCGGCTCGGTATACTCTGATCGACGGAGAATTCTTTAAATGGCGATTTTCCGGTCCCCTCCTTATCTGTGTCGAAGGAAATGAAGCTCGGAGAGTCATGGAAGAAGTACACGGCGGATCCTGCGGAAACCATTCTGGCGGGAGAGCCCTAGCTATAAAGATCAAACGCCACTGATATTTTTGGCCGACAATGGTCAAAGACTGCGAGAAGTTTTCTCAACGGTGTGACAAACGCCAGAGGCACGCACCAACCATTCATCAACCCGCCGAGCTCCTCTCTTCCATCACTTCGCCTTATCCATTCATGCGATGGTCCATGGACATCATTGGACCTCTACACAACTCCAAGCAGAAGAAACTCGTCCTCGTACTGAGAGACTACTTCTCCAAATGGATCGAGGCGGACTCCTATGCCAGCATCAAAGACGCGCAGGTCAAGAGCTTCGTCTGGAAGAACATCATATGCCGCCACGGGATACCTTACGAGATCGTTACAGACAACGGATCGCAGTTTATTTCGGCTCGGTTCGAAGGATTCTGCGAGAAATGGGGAATTCGCCTCAGCAAGTCTACGCCTCGGTACCCTCAGGGAAACGGTCAGGCCAAAGCGCAAACAAGACGATTCTCGATGGAATAAAAAAGCGCCTCGACGCGAAGAAAGGCCGCTGGGCCGACAAATTGGAAGGAGTACTATGGTCGCACAGAACCACGCCGCGGCGGGCCACGGGAGAAACGCCTTTCGCCCTTGTCTACGGCGCGGAGTGTGTGATTCCCACCGAAGCCGAGATCCCGGGACTAAGAAGACGTTTTCTCCTCGAGCAGGAAAATTCCAACACTCAGATGATGCTAGACGAGCTGGACTTAATTGACGAAAGAAGAGATTCGGCTTTGATCCGTATGCAGAACTATCAGAATGCAACGGATTGGTACTATAATTCTCGCGTTAAGCATCGCCGTTTCCACGAAGGAGATCTCGTACTGCGCAAAGTTTTCCAGAATACCGCCGAGCAGAACGCAGGTAAGCTCGGCGCGAATTGGGAGGGACCTTACACGATCGCAAAGGTAATCCGTCCCGGCGTCTACGAACTCATCAACATGATCGGCAAAGCGGTACCTAGATCCTGGAACGCAATGCATCTAAGGAAATACTACCGCTAAAAACCTAAGGTACGCATGTACTCGAACTACGGGGTGGCTTGATCCCTGAAAAGGGTACGTAGGCAGCTCGTCCTCGGACGAGTTCAGCTACCCCCCCTAATTAAAAAAGGGGGGAGTGGGTCCGTATACATATACTCCCACTGAACTTTTTTAACTAATTTTCTAGTTTTTACCCTTCGGGTTATCAATTTTATCCACCTCGACATCTATCCTAAAAGTCACCTCGGAAACTTCTACGGTCATCTTATCGACCTATAAAGCTAAAAGTTCGTTCGGACGATGGCCACGTCCTCGGACAGAAAAAGCTCATTTCACCGCCTCGGTTACAGCGCGCTATATAAGCATTCAAGACAATTCGGTCAGAG